TTGTTTTATGTCGTAAGCTCGACATAATTTTAAATTCCACTAGTTTTGGGGATGAGTGTGCAACTCAGTGAGTGTTAGACTGGCAGAGTAGTCTATGTTTTCAACGTTGTGGTAATGTTTCAAGCGCTGCCCGTTAACAATGAACGGTTCACTAGGTTTTCCTTTTATTTATACTGCGCCATTTTGAAAGACTTTCCTTATCTCAAAGGGACCAGACCACCTAGAGCGAAGTTTTCTTGGGAAAAGTTTTAGTCGAGAGTTAAATAGGAGTACTATGTCACCCTCAGTGAACTATTTCCTCGATATACGCTTATCATGCCACTTTTTAGTTCGTTCTTTATCGATGTGGGCATTCTCGTAAGCGTCTAACCTAAGCTCTGCTAGTTCATGGATATCTAATATTCTCTTTTCGCCTGCGGCAGTAAAATCTAAGTTAAGGGTCTTAATGGCCTAATGCGCTTTATGCTCTAATTCTACCGGCAGGTGACATGATTTACCATAAACCAGTTTAAATGGTGCGGTTCCTATTGGGGTCTTATAGGTTGTCCTATATGCCCACAGAGTTTCGTGTAATTTGGAAGATCAATCTTTCCTAGAGGTCGCAACTGTTTTATCTAAGATTTGTTTAATTTCTCTATTCGAAACCTCTATTTGCCCGCTGGTTTGCGGGTGATAGGGTGTTGCTACACGGTGTCGGACTCCATATTTCGTTAATAGTTTCCCGATCAATCTTGTGTATGTGGCGACAAAAATAAATAAATTTCCTTAATATTGATTTACCAAATGAAAAGGGAAGGGAAAATTGGAAAAAGAGACTTAAGCCCAAAGCATTGGAGAGGTGTCTGAAAGGGAGACTTAGCACCATGGCTCTTCCGCGGTTAGTGTTCTAATGAATACCTTTGTTGTCAAGTGATTACCATGAGAATTAGACCTAATCATTCAGAACATAGACTCGCCTATGAGTATCATTGACTTGTTTTAGTATGCTTTATCAAGATGTTAATTGCATGATCCAAAAAACTTATAAATTTAAGCTTTGTTGCTTGAGGACAAGCAATGGTCTAAGTTTGGGGGAGTTTGGTAAGTGGTATTCGTTCGTTATTTCTAGTCATTTTCTCTTAGTATTTTATCGGATTTTGTTCATTTTACTTTCAATTACCATGTTTTAGGCTTTAGATTGTGTTCTCTTTCTATTTTAAAGGCCTAATGAGCATCCAAGACTATGAAGGATCAAAATCAAGCAAAACAAGGAAAAATAAAAAAAGACAAGTTTTCTCCTTAATAAAACTAGAGAGTTGCTATAGCAACCCATAGCAGCTGCTACGAGAAGTAACAACAATGTACCCTAAGGTTCCCCTTGTTCCACTTCCCAGTACAAAATGAAAAGACCTACTACGGCCACCCGTAGCAGTTGCTACGGGCCATAGCTGGAAGGCGAGAAATATTTGTTTTGTTTCCTTATTTGGATCAATTCTCTTTTATTGTGGCTCTTAGGCAATGTTTAATCTGATGTAAATCTTATTTAATAGTGATTTTTATGCAATTTTTCTTTTTTCTATAAAACTCATAGTCTGTTATGAGTTTTGAGGTCCAGATTTTAATCCGGAAAGTTTCTAAGTACTATTTTTCGTTTTCTCTGTAACTTAAGTCTCCAAAACTTAATCATAATTCAGATTTTATTATTCATTCTTCTTAAATTGTTCATCTGTTATAATTTTTTGATATGAAATTGATAACGAATACTGATTTAATTTTTTTTTCCCTTACCATAAGTGAGTAGTTCATTAGGCACTAGGGTTTATAGGGATTATCTTACAACCTCTTGTATGATTTGCCGCTATCAATTATGAGAATTTTAGTTTAAACTTATTTTATAATCTGAGTTCATGCATTCCAACTTCGTTACGAAAGTAAGTGGTTCTTAGGTATTGACCGTAGTCTGAAAGGATATGTGTTGATACCGGAGCACGGATTTTTAAACTGAGTCTAAAATAGAAAAAGCGCTTGGAAGAATTTGAGAAAAATATATAGCTGGGCAAAAGTAACGAATCGTCAAAGTAGACAGATTATTCATCGTCAATAAGGCAATGCGCTGGTGAAAGCAGGTATTGCCCATATTTATCTATTTTCTATAATTTATGCGGAATTCTCGTATAAGTGACATGGACTGTGATATTGTGTTAGAGTAAGATTCATAACCTCATGTCATGCTTGCCCCAATAGAGATTTAAGTTATTACTCAAATAAGTTGTTTACATTTAATTGCTTTTTCTGTGAAGTTGTTTTACCAAAATATATATTTTTTATTTCTCTAGATATACACCAATAAGACAGAATTTGGTACTTAAAGCATTGGCCTCTATGGTTCGATATCTTTTATTACTTTGCACATCGTGCACTTGTGGTTGCATCACCAATCGATTGGAGCATTAAGACAATCGATTGAAAGAGTGTTAATCGATTAACCAAATAATAAGGATAGCACATTAATTACTTGCAACGGCTCTATATCCAAAATTTTCTATTTAGGTTTGTTAATCTATTAGAAATGATATGGTCAATCGATTGAAGTTTTGTGCCAATGGATTGTCTCTTTAATTCGGTCCATGGATTATTTCTATTTTTTGTTTTCCGAACTACTATATAATGGAGGAACACCTCCTCTTCATACCATACTACTTTTTAAAGTTTAACATTTTCTTTGGAATTTATCTCTCTAATTTCTTTCTCTCTCTCTCTAGAATATTTCATTCACTTGATATTTTTCTAGTGATTATAAGTGAAGTTTTGCTTGTGAGAAAGAAATTTTTGTAAGTGGTCGTGTTGGTCGTTTAAATTCTTAAGAGTGTGATACTCTTAAGAGATCGAGTTTGGTTTATGAGATATACCTATCATAAAATCTTTGTTGTTGGTTTCTTAAATTTGTCAAAAAAAAGCTTTGTTTTAGTTATTTAGATAAGTCATAAATCTCTAAACGGTTTGTTAGCTTAGCTTGGGGTAAAAGTTTTCATTGGTTGGGATTAGCCTTTAAAAATCTCAAGATCAGATTGTATTAAGATTTGTGGGCATAACCTTCAAAAGCTCAAATTTTATTGTTAAACTCTCAGGACTAGGTCAGCATTTGGCCAAACTTGTATAAATCTCTTGTGCAATCTCTCTAACTCGATCCTTTTAATTTCCATAATTTACTTTTATTTTATTTCCATTGTAATTCACTCAATCAAAATTACTAATACAATCTTAATCGAGAAAAGAATAAAATTAATCGTGAATGTTAAATATCCCTCTAATATTTTTTTGTCAAAATAAATATATTAATTACGAAAAAATCTCAAGATACAAAAAATGCAAAGCACAAGAAATTTCCAGAAAAAGAAATGAATAAACAACAAAAAAAACAAAAAAATCTAAAAGCCTCAAACTAAGGGACATCCAGAATCAAAACCATAACTGCTACATAATCACATTACGACACTTAGGATAGATCTCTAAACAAATCAGATCCACCATCAATATATCAAATCGTATCAAATGAAGAAAAAATATCCACCGTCATGCTCTGAATCAAGGAAAACACTCGATTCACTATAGGCGTAGAAAGGGGATATAATTTTGAAGTCAAGGTGTGAATGTGCAAGAGTTTTTTCTTGACCGGCCCAAAAATCAATTCAAACCAAAAAATATTATTCTCATCCACTTCTTTTGTTGTTTTTGTGACGCCATTAAAGATATCATTTTGGACTTTCCAAATAGATTGGATTATAGCATGTCAAACCATAAGGTAACCGTCCCTATATTTAACTCTACTTCCTAAAAAATACTCAAAAAAGAAACCTAAGATCATGGTGGATAACTATCTACCATCCCAACCACCTGAAAACTTTATACCAACTGAGGAGTTAATCTTACAAGTAATAAAAAGGTGAGAATCAGTCTCAGACAGAAACCCACAAAAAGAACAAGAAAGTCAGCTAGAATCTGATAACACCCCTCTTGTAAACAAGTTTATTCTAGAAGGGAATCGGTCATGCAATACCTGTCAGGAAAAAACTAAAATCTTAGATGTAGTCCAATTCCTTCAAATAAGAGAAAGAATATGATCTTGAAACGAAAGAGGTGTCATAAAAGAAGTCAAATTCTCCCTCTGAACGAGATAACTAGAAGCCACAGTAAAGTATCGCCACTAGAATGCTTCCAAACCCACTTATCAATATCCAAAATAAGAATAACATCTCTAAACAAAGCATGAAACTCCTCAAGAACGAACAACTCTATGAAAAAAATATCTATTTCATTTAAGTATTTGAAGTCACTTACTCAACAATATTTTGGTGACTGCATGTTATAGATTGTGATTGTGGCGTAATAAAGAGATGCATGAATATTATTGTCAAAGATCTCATAATTTGAGAGTCCATGTTATGCAATTAGCAAGTGATTATTATAGTGCAAATCTCGAGCTCATCGAAACCTCTCCCAAAAGGGGTGGTGAAATTAAATATGGATGGTTTTTAGAAAGATGGCAATAAAGCGGGGTGGAAAAGCATTGTCAAGAATAGTGGAGGTCATTGGATAATCGGATAGATGGCTTCTCTAAGCTGTAAGACTCATGTAGTGCATATGTTGCTGAATTATATGATGTTTTGAAGATTTGAATTATACGATGTTACCAAATAATATATCCCAGCAATATAGGCTCACCCCTCGTCATGGCCTCTAATACTATAAAAGGCTTTCCTTAAGCAAAACGTGCGCAACCTTTTTCATGGAAGCTGCCAGTATGATTTTGTAATAACACCACGAAATAAAGTTACAAAAATTAATGACATAACGAGGCAAAGCCGTTAATTGAAAAACTGCCACAGGGCATTTTCTTTCTATTGCAAATATACTACAGTACTGTACAACATATAAACAGGATATTTAAAAAAATATTCAAACCCCTGTACCACTCAATTATATTCTGAAATAACTCCTAATCTAAACCGTATTACAACATTTTAACCAAATCCAAATCCCTCACTTGCTTCGTGAATCGCTAACAGTAACCTCTCTTCCAAATGTTGTTTAGATGGATACTCTGGCAAATCCAATTGATTGAAACTGCACCAACAAAATTCCGTGTTTAATTAGTTTCACAAATCAAATGATAATGATCAAGTGATAACATAGTATATCAGCTATAATCATCCAAACAGAAAGCAAATATAAATATATAGTGAATGAATTGAAAAGGACAAAAATATATACCAAGTATGAGCAGAAGGCAAGTGATCAGGACTTCCATATGCTTTATGTATCTGAAACTTCTGGGAGCCTGATATTCCTTGAAGAGCACTAAAACCTTCCAAAGGCACCTGAAACATCAATGTTAAAAATCAGAACTTCAAATTGCACTATAAATGTTTTCACGGCTCTAATAAGTGTCAATGGCATTCGTTTTAAATCAACTAGGATATAGAACACTAGGTTCAGTTTAGTTTTGGACAATTTTCTCTTGACTAAAATGCCTCACAAATAAATTAATAGCTCAAAAAATGGGCTTGTTGAAAGTAGCTAGCGCATAAGGGAATCAATCCTGTGTTTTTAGCAGTATACCTTGGATGTGCCGGTCACAAATTGCAAAAGCCGAGCCTTGTCTTCTTTACTTAAGTCTTGGACAACCTCCCAAAACCATTGAATAACTGGCGATGCAGCACTATATCCAGAATATTCTGTATTTGCTCTCAAGTCATCCACTGAAATAAAATGCACAACTCTTAAACCTTCTGTTTCATGGGATTTAAATACTCAAACACAGCAGGAAGGAGAGCAAATAAACATAAATGACATCAAAAAAAGGAATGGACAGCTACGAAAGTCTTACAATCAATATCAGGAAGACCGCTGATCAATAACTCCAGCTCTTTGTCATTGAATATGGATATCAACTCCCTGGGAATTAATTCACTGAACCCTTCCAAGAAAGCATTTATTTGAGGTCGAATAGCAGTTGTCAACCGATGCTCAGCAACCAAATCAACATACTGATGCTTGTTCTCTTCAGTAACTTTGATATTCCGTCCACCAGGAATCAACTCATAATCAGTCACCTAACAATGTTTTTTCAAGATTAGACTAAAAATGCACTGTCCAATAAACAATATCAATTAAGTTTAAGGGCACGGTCAATACTTCTGTCCGTTCATATAAGATTAATTTTTCCTCATCTGCATCAATGCTAAAAGTAAGATCCAGAATATCGCTAATATCATTCTGCAATCGTACCAGAAACAAGATATTATCATCGCATTAACATGTGGGGACAATACTAAAATGACGGGGGATATAGAAATGCACTTGCCTCAAGCATCCATTTCAAATTTTTGAAATAGTCAGGATCAATGGCTTCAATATCATGGTATGTAACTTTGACCCCAAGTATGTGCTTGTAGAACGAGCGAGTAAAATGGACATCCAAAAGTTGACCGTCAAATAGTGCTTTACTAACCTGGATAATGTAGAAAGGGTTGAGAAAAAATCATATATTACCAACAGCAAGCATTAAGAGCAGTTGAAAACAGACTCACCACTCTACCAACAAACTTGAAATAAGATAAATGTTCTGTTTGATAAACAGAGTTAGGATTGGGTTGAAATGTTGACTCATTGCCGACTGTAGTAAAAAGCAGTGCTCCCTTGTCAAAAATAACTCTGGATAACAATTGATACCACTCCCTTGTAAGTCCTCCTGCATCAATACCTTCCTCCCCTTGAAAGTGAACAGTCAACCTTCCCTTCAATTCTTGAGTTGGTCTCATGCGAAGCTGATTATAAGAATCTTCTAGAACATATGCCCTTCTTACGGATATTCTTAAGGGGCTATGGTGATGGTCATGCTGATGCTTAATTTTTGATCGGAAGTGGGCCCGTTTGTTATCAAAATCAATAAATCTTGGAACTTTCAGCATGAGGGAGAAAGATTTCTCAAGTAAACCAGGATTTTGCCTTATAAAAGCATTTAGAAGCTTTCTATGCTTCTCTGAGAACCTAACAAAAGCCATATTTTTCTCATCTACTTTTACACCAAGTCCGGATACTTTCTGCTGAGATGTGGATGTACTGGCATTCTCAACGTCAGAAATAACAGGAATACTTGAGTCATGACTAACACCTGGCTGTGTGGGGTGCAATTTCTCACAAACCACAAAGAAAGATTCTATGTATGGCAATATATTTTGAGAGCCAGCTGGAAGTGGAGGCATGGCACCAGTCGGTTGAGAAGCAGATGATGTAGATGGGGTGAAGAGCTCAGATGTAGATTCGGAGTAGGACTCTATTTTGCTTATGCAACAGCTCAGCTCATGCCACAATGGTTCTAATGCTGAATTGATTTGCCAAACCTCTGAAAGAACAGCAGGAGTAACTCTATCACCGTGATCCTCAGTTAGTGATGCGACAAGGGAACTCAAGGCTTGCAAAACTCTCAAAATTGCAGCTCCATCAGTAGATGTGGTACTAAGAAGAGCTTTCATAGCTTCACTGAAGACATGTAACTCGGCCATTGCAGAAGATGTCAAATTTTTAACTGCTTCAGCCAGCTCAGTGACAAAAAGCTGACAATGAGTTGGAGCAATGGCCACCAATTTCTTCACTACCTCCGCAACAAGAGTATATGCATTATCTGACAAACTGGGAGGAATACACAAAAAATAAGGTCAACTCCAGCATCACTAAAATATTAACATAGACAATATGTCACTACTCACTACAACAATAATAGCCAGAACAATCTGGTCTGGTGATGAGTGATACCATTTGTGGAGTTAGAAACAAAAGCAAGTAAATGTCAAGTAAATGTGGATCGATAACAAAACCAGTATAACAGATTGTAAATTATTTAGGAGCTCCTAAATGATTATTTTTTAGCATCCCTACCCTCGCCCAGAACCAGGAACTCCTGGTCAGGGTAAATAAATAAACGAAAACTGGGCTTAAAATATTGACAGATGGATCGGCACAAATTTACAAACAAAGGCCTGTAAGCATACCCTTCATGTGCAAGCAGCGAACACAGGAGCCGGAGCTCAGATTGTGGCAAATTACTCAATACTCTCTGAGACTCAGATTCCACATTATTATCAACGGGTGTGGGTTTGGATGAATCATTAACCGTAGTAGATGCATCAGCCTTAGAAGTCAAAATATCAGAACCTGTATTTGTTTCTGCCTCGACAGCAGATATTTGAGGACCCGGTGGTGACTGTGAAGTCGAAATCAATGGTTTATCAGATGGAGTGGACTTGCTTCCAGCACTATCAATTATTACATCCAGTAAATTTAGCAGCTGAAAAAACAAGCACATGTACAAGGTATATTGTGTCAGCATTCTGTAAGCACATAAAATTGAATAGCATATAGGCACCCAATAAAACCAACCAAATCATCACCTGCTCAAGATGGGCTATGCTCCTCAAATAAAGTGGTTGGTTCAAAAGACCCAAAAGCACTGCAATGGAAATGTACCCTTTATTACTTTCACCTATATTGACTTCGTCTTCAACAACCATCACAGCTTTGCCACGTGCGTCACTAGCATTATTTTGTTCTCTAATCTCAGGATGCGGAAGCCTAGACTGAAGCAAATTACTTGCCACATATAAATGATTACGAGCAAGATAAGTGAGGGTTTCCAGTACTCGCCGAGACAGCAGCGGGGGTACCCCTGTGTAACCAAGCAAGATAAAAGAAATTCATTAATTAAATTATCATTTAATTAGGAAACAAAGCACTCCAGATAATAAGACTTGGTCAATTTAGACATAAAAAACACCAGAATATGGAAAGCTGCTTTGGAGATTGATTATTTGAGAAAATTCAAGACTGCAAGCACCAACTAAGATATTACTTTACATAATTAAGTATTCTTACCATCAAAAGACTGAGGACGTGAATACATTACATTGCTCTGACAGCCATATAATCTATACAGTGGCTCAACAGTACCAAAAGAACTGACAGGCTTTCTCACATCAAGCATTAGCAAGTCCATTAGAATTTTCACCAAAGATACTCTTGTTTCACTATGAGCACAAAGATTTAAAAGAAGCCTCTGCAGTTGGCCTTTATAGAGTGGCTGCAAAAATGTAAGATGCATTATAGATGATATAGGAATCATTTAGAAGGGCTTTTTCGTATTATAAATTACTACCTGCACCATGCGAAATAACCGAACCATGGCATGCAAGGCTTCTGTGTCAACTAGTGGGGCTCCATCAGCTTCAACAACCTTAGCTCCACTGGACCGGCGTGAAGAATTTGGTCCCCCTACTGCATCTAAGTCAGAACCAGTGCCATCACCACGTCTTGAAGTCTCACCTCTACGACTTCTTGGATACATACCAAAGAGGGTACGACTGTAACGGTGTGCATACCTCTCACGCAACATATTTGCCTCAGCAACAAGGGCAGGTGTAAGATTGGCAAGGATATTATCAGATGAAGTTAACAGAACCTAAAGAAAATAAGAAATGACAAAATATTAGATACAATCACACTTTTAGAGAAATAGCAGTCACTTGATTGATTAACTCACCTCTTCTCGTAAATCTGAAGGAAACGTTGCAATTATTGAGACTGTATCCATTTCTACGGGTTGACCTTCCAACTCCTGAGACTGATTTGACCTCTGTGCTTGCTGTTGAGCTAGAACTTCTGCTCGAATATCTGCAGGGAGGGCAGCAAGGAACTCTGGGTCAATGTCCCCAGAATTCTGAGACTCGACATTTGGTGGCTGAGCCACTTGACCTTGCTGAGCTGAGAGGACTTCAGCACGCAGCTCCTCAGGAAGAGCATCTAGAAAAGCAGGATCAATTGCTCCTGATCCAGCATCACTATTTGCTTGCTGCTCTGCTGCTGGACTTGCTTGATCTGCATCACGGCTTGAATTCTCAGATACTTCGGCAACACTGTGAAGAGGTGTATCTCTTCCAACAGGGGGAAAATGACCCGGAGGCATATTTGCTCTTCTTGTGCGTGCAGCCTGTGAATCACCAGCTGCAGAAACCGGCCTTTCCCCGCCATCATCATGGCCATCAGCACTTCCAATCTCAACATCTAGGCTCCGGAGGCTTTCCCCAAAAGTTGCTCCACTACCACTACTCTCTTGGCTCACAGCTTCAACATCCCTCCCAGCACCATCATTATGCTCGAATTGTATCTCAACAGCCAGCGAGTGAGTGTTTGATACATTTGTTTGCTCTCTTGTCCCTGCAGGTCTGATATCAGCCTCATTACTGTTATCAATTATTAAAGGAGTCGTTGTACTAACTCCTTGAATAGCATTACTTTCAACAGGGATGTCTGGCCTTGCACCACCTGAATCTTGTGCCTGACTGGTTTCAACATTACCATGAGAACCCGCTTCTGCTACATCTTGATTAGGCGAATTTTCAAGGGTTTGTTGCCTTAATTGAGAGACAAGCAACTCCTCGAGTCCTTGTGGTACAACACTAGTGTTTGATCCACCACTCTGCTGGTTATTATCAGTCCACAAGTTTAAACGATTCCCATGGCGTCCACTTCTCAGTGATCGAAATATATTATCCAAACCTGATGGATTGTTCTCGAGAAAACTATCTGGAAATTTTTATTAAGATACCAAAAACAAGAATCATTAAAACTACACATGCAACAAATAACAACGAGTAGATTCATGAAAAAAACTCATTAGTGTAATAATATATGAGTTGCAATAAATTCATGAAGGAACTAGCCTGATTGTCCCATAGAGGGGGGGAATGAGGAAGAAGGATCAACCAAGAGTGGATGACGGGAAGGTATAGCAGTATCACCAGTTCTTCCCAAAAGACTATAGATAGATGTTGTCCGCCCTGGACGTCTGGATCCAAAAACTTCAACCGGCATTACATGAAAAGCTTCATTTGGAAAAGTATTATCTCTGCCAAGAACCTCAATGTGATCAAGAACATTAATTCCATTAATGCCCTCCTCAAGTCGGAGTATAACACCATCCTCATCTTCCTCATCCTCCTCATCATCTTCTTCCATCACTTCATCATCAAAATCATCGTCATCAATCTCATGGTCATCTTGATCTGTGTCAGGATGTGGCAAGTGATGGACTTCATGCTCCAAGTCATTATGTTCCTCATCATCCTCCTCGTCTTCATCTACATCTTCGCCTTCATCTCCAGACATATCATCATCCTCATCCTCATCTTCATCAAGATTTTCTTGGGGCTGGATTTCCAATTGTAGACCTACACTTTCCATTCCATTTTCAACATCTCTTGCATCCTCAGAATTTTCATGCATGTAATCATCCTCGTTGGCCGGAGGAAAGTTCCCATTAAGATCTTGATCATGTTCCATATCATCTGTAACAGCTTCAGACCCACCATAGGTCTGACCTGTGTAAGGCCCCACTTGGTCAGCTTGACGAGAACCGTGATTGGCTTGAGAAGACATATCCATGGACTGAGACATATCACCAATATTATCTATTCTTCCGGGTTGTTGTAGATCAGAAGGTTTTGCTTTCCCTCCATTAGAATCGGCTGAATGGACATGCTCCTTGCTAACCAACTCAAGAGCTTTAATAATACCAGTTGCAACTTTAGACGAATCAGTATGATCCAGGTCCAGAATTTGGAGAGTACGAGTAAATGATTTAACCAATCCAGCATCAATAAATGTGGCAGAGGCCTCAGCTGAGATGCATGCACCAGCAGGTGTGCGAGCAGCCAAAACATCATTAATCAGATCAACAAAAACCAGAATTTCATTGCCCGGAGGCTTAACACCATGACTTGAATCAACATATTCATTGATGATAGAACTAATCTCGCTAAAAATCCTTTTCCTTGCCTCTGTGGAACGGACACAAGCAGCCACCATAAACTGGTTAGCCCTGGTTGCTAGTTTCTGCCTCCAATCGCCATCAACTTTCTTGTCTTTTTTGTTGTTTCGAGAATGTGGAAGAAAATTATGAAGAATATGGTAGAATATTCCGCCCATGCTTAAACCAACAGGACTCTTCTGATAAGTGACCCTACTGCTGCTCAACTCAGCATCTCGTCGAAGTAGAACGTGAACTGATGATGAATACATCAATAATATCTCCGTCAAAAGCTTCAAGATAAAGACAGTCTTTGCAAGTGATGCAGAAGCCTCTTGACTATTGGTTTTGTTACTGTCAGGCGTGGTTGCAACTGCTTTTCCTTTTCCTTTATTCATAGAAACATCAATGTCCATGTCACTTGATGTTGTGGTGCCAGGAAGTACGTTTGATGCATTGTCATCCTTCAAGGGAGGAATAAAAGTGCATATAGATTCAAGTAGCAGTTCTATCACATCAATAAAACTTTGACTAGGTTTTCTATGACCTTTGATACTCTTGGCATTTGAATCCTGAGTTTTTCCATGGCCATTACCAGTGCCAGGAGCTTCTGCGTTAGTAGGCCCAACACCAACCTTACCATCACTATTCTGTACTTTTTCTTTCTCCAATGATTTACACTTCTCCTTTTCTTTCTCTTTCACTTTGTCTTTGTCTTTAAGCAAAACAATGTAAGGTCTCTCGCCTACCATTTCAACTTGGCACACAGATTGAGCAGCTTGCATAAAAACTGCTGGATCCCGCGAAATCACAGAAGCTAAATTTAAAAGAAAATTGCGAGGATTGACCCTTCCATTTGGATGCCGGTTGGGCACAGCTAGAAGATTTTGTTTTATCTCGGATTCCATTGCTTGCCGAAGTGTTAGCGGATCTTCAAGAATATGACGAACAATACTAGCAGCAACATTGTCAAACCCAGAGAAGAGGCTACTTGTTGGCAAAGAAAGAAGTAGACTTAAACCACCAGCATCCAAAAAAGCAAGGGCAACAGAATGATTCCTTGTAAGATTGGAACATAGCAGCAGAACGGCGTGCATTGTGTCAGAGGGAAGTTGATTCTTCATACAACTACATGCAATCTCAACAAGTCTCTTCTGCTCATGTATATCTGCATACTTCATAGAGAGTCCCAATGCAGACTGTAACTTGCTTTGCCTGTCTTCATCGATAGTAATTGATGCCTTCTGGCTATTCACAACTTCCTTCTTCAGCTGCTCTGTGATTTCCGAATTTAATTTTTGATCCACCTGCAACAACCTGTCTAAGGCAAGAAAAGCAGCTGTGACCCATTTTGGCACCTGCTGTTTCTCCTTGCAATCAAGACTAGAATCCCACTGGTTGAGTAGATCGGAGGCAATTCTGATAAATCCACTCTTGGAAGCAGCTTCTCGTGCCACGGGATCCTCATTAAGAATTAAAGCAAGAACATGAAAAAGTGTAGCCAGCATGATGTAATTTTCATTGCTAGAAACTATACCACATTCTTTGATCCGGTCAACAATAAATGTGACAACACTAGATCTATGTTTACCATCATCCTGGGAGCATATCATCACAAGCAAGTCGCGGACAGGAAAAGCAAGAGGTTCTTTCATCAAAAGTTTTGTGCAAGTAGACAACAATTCATCAACAGAAGGAAATTGGACTATCTCTTCTTCAAGCTGCTGAGCAGTTGTATTTGCATTTGAATTTGGAACTGCATCCTTGGTGTCAGATTCAGAGCTTCCAAGGGACATTGCAAGTGCACGGGCAAGTTCATCATCTTCTGGTACTTCCTCTGGATGTGAGAACAACCACTCCATTGCCAACTCTACACTATTTGACCCAACATGTCTCAAAGCTTCCTCTGCTCTAGACCGCGAAAAACCCATCTCTACAATGGTAGAAATAGTTGTTTCATTAGGAGGTGGTCCAGTAATACGAGAACCACCATTGCCACTTACATTTTTTACTTCAACCCCTGAATAAACATGCCTAATGATAGAGATAACTGCAGAAATAAATTCGTAACTGCAGTCACCAAACTGGGGATGAGTCCAAACAGGAAGCACGGTCTTCAACACTATAGATTGGAGGACTTTCATAAAAGTCTCAGGGTCCCTTGGGAAAGGTGTGTCACCATTTGTAAGGGGCTGTGCAAGCAAATGCTTAGTGAATGATGATAATATAAAAGATGATGTTACAAGATGGTCCATCAATTTCCCATAACTAGCCAAAGAGCCATAAATCCACGAGTTATTAGTATCCTCCTTGTCTTCTTGCTTTGCATTTGCATCATCAGTATCCATAGGCGAGGCAGGAACCCGATTAACTGCAAAGAGCAGCTGACTAGTAGCTTCAAAGGTGGTCAATACAGATTGAATAACTCCACGTCCATACAAGCAATTCAACAGAACAGGATTGCATGAATCTGGCCTCTCCATTAGCATACTATCTGTGAAATCAATCACTTTCCCATAATACCGACACTTTGTTGATATTGATTCTTCTGTTCCCGAAAGATTTACATGGCCCCCATAATTCATGTGATCTAGAGCAATTGATGCCAAAGTAGAAGCCACTGATTTTGAAGCAGGACTTACATTCACAATATCATCACGTCGACGGGATGGTAGCAACATTACTTTTCCTAACTCTTGGAACAAATGAGTAATGTGAAATGAAAGTGATCGGACCATGTCACAACAAGAGGCATAATACGACCTATGCTTGTCAGATTCCTTCTTATTAACAATCTCAGCATTATCATCAGATCCAGAATGATGCAACTGATTACTGGAACTTGACCGCATATTCGGCCCGGTAGAAATAGATCGATGTTGAGAACCAGTGGAACGGCCCAAATCTCGATATAGGTTTATAAGGTCAAAAAACTGAGATTCGATGCTCCATCCCGATGTCCTCCTTCTCAATAATGGATCAAGTAACTGCCTGAAAGAATTGATCCTTTGCTCCTCGGACTCACCTGCATCCCGTTCAGCCTGTTGTGAATCAGAAGAAGAAGAACCATCTTCCTCACTCCCTTGCTTCTTATTTTCAAGTAGAGCAATTTGCCATAGAACTTCACGGTGGACACGTCCAATGTCTTCAAGAACATCCTTACTTCCATTCCCAAATTCGGTAAGCAACGCACTCACCCAACGGTTGTCTTTCGCTGCAGCAAGAAAGAGTAGGAACTCAACAAGGAAAAGTGAAGAAAATATTCCACCATCATTTGTCATCCTAGGATCCAGCAACAAAGGTTCTGAAGCTTCACTAAACCCAGTTAATGTTTTCTTCAAGTGCTCTCTAAGAGACGAACAGAAGGCGTGTGCCAGAGGAGTGGAGTGATGTTGAGCAAACCCCTTAAACACCATGGTGCTGTGTAAAGCAATGGACATGCCATCTGATGATTGAGCAATAGTGGGTCGTAACAACAACTTCAACAAAGCTTCAATTCCTGATTTTTCCACAAATAGCCGACATGTTTCAGAATTTTCCATAGTCCTATGAATCAATACCATCAAATGAAAGACACATAGCTGAATAAACTGCTCATCACTTATGCCTTCTGCAGCTGAACATGATGTGCCTACAAGGCAACCATGGCCTTCATTCTCTTTGACTTCAGAATCTGTTTCCATTGCAGTACCCTCATTAGCTTTTCCAGAAATTCCTGTACCATTTTCATCACCAAAGGATGCAATCTTATGGATGATTTCAATGATAATATCAACACCAGTACTTCTCAATGAAGACACGTGACGTAGAAGTTCCTCCACAGCATTTGCCAAAGGAACAATAGCCTCATTCATAGCTAAGACATACTTTTTGCTAGTGAAAATATCAACAAGGAACAGCAGTGATGAAGATTCTCTAACAGCCTCTAAACCTTTGGCATTGAGACAAATGGCCCCAAGACCATTTGGAATGCATGTCAAAGCCTTTGATGAAGGAAGTAGTTCAGATCCAACTGACAACAAAAAAGCATCAGGAAGACCCATATCATGCAGAATAGAAAAACATGTAGGATCTTTATGGATTATTTCACTCATAACAGTAACAGCTGAGTAATAAACATCGCCTCCAAACTTATCAACATTCTGGAATATTAAGCTTAGAGTAGCAGGCAATGAATTGTCATTAGAATATTGAGATCTTGCAGTGTTTGCAGGCGCATATGTTGCAGAGCCAAGTGCCTTGAGGGAGACCTTTATGAGCCTCTTCTGGGAGTACAACTGATCAGTACTATGCCTTGAGCTTTCGCCAATGAGAAACATGTTATCATTTTCTCCAACTAACTCAATGACCCTTTGTACTTCTTTCCATAATCTCTGAGCCAAAAGTTCAATGCCCCCCAACTCTTTAAACAAAGATACAGCTGAGCTACTATAATCCATCAGCTTCTGAAGGGCTTTTACAGCAAAACAGACTAAATGAACATGTGCAGGATCAGAATCTTCAAGAAGCGGCAAGAATGTAGGTACCATGCCAGAGGTTGACGTTGAAACCACATGATGCAGATAGAACTGAAGAAGTGCCTCAACAAAGGCAAGAGTAGATGGATCGCTAGAATTTTTTAATGACAAAATAGCCCTCTGAAGTACATTCAGGAGTATCATACGGTTCCCACCAGCAAAACATGAACTAGATCCACTAAGTATCCGTGCCCGTTCGTGCGATGAAGTATACGCCGCCAACTGGGCTCCTAATGCAAGCATTGCAAGTGTTCTGATAGATCCAGATATGGTTTCTTCAGATCGCACAACTCTAATTAATTCATTTGTATATTCCGGTTCATTAGCAAAAAAGGACACAAGTTCGTCATGAGCATCGCCAGATTGGACCAGAACAATGAAAGAAAGTAGGCATATCCTGCTGTAAAGCCTGCATATTCTAGGAGACCGAAATGCATGAGCATATCTAATTCTAGAGAGCAACGAAAATCTGAGCTCAGAAGGAATGTTATATTGTTCAATGCATTGCTTTAACAATGACAAATCATCTTCTTTGCAGAGATGCAAATCTGGCATATGTATGACTCTCAAGCCACGAGAACTCTGATCTGCACTGAGTTCTTCACTTTGAGCACTGGGTCCATGCAATTCAAAATAAAGAGTTGTACCTATGCGATAATTAGATTGATCACAGCCAATCTCTACATCAGAAGGAAACAAGCTTAGTGCGTCATTTTGAGCTTTCTCATTTGCCATTACACAAGAGTACAATCCCAGGCCCTCCTCCTTGCTTCCCCATCCCTGTGCTAGGGATAAGAGAGAGCTGTTCACTGAACCACAACCAACCATCTTTACATTTCCATGAAGCTTAGAGGGATTAATTTTTACAAGTGCAGAAAGCGTTTCTAATGCCGAAATAAGAATCTCAGGATCGGTAGATGCTAGCAAAAGTTTGAAATGCTGAGGAAACAGGTATAAGGTATTAAAATAAACCATTGGGTTAAAATAAAATTATAATTAAGACCAGACTTATCAAGAAACAATTTCTGTCCAACTAACCTCTATGCCATCAAAGGTGCTCTTGTTTGGACAATTCTCCAAAATTATTTGCATCACTCGTAATATTTGCAGAACTGCATGTTTAGGTAATGGGCTGTCATCTTCTAGATTATCTAACAAAGTCAGGTCGTTTCTACACGACAAATAAGTCTTGAAGTATGTATTAAAATGAAGTAGCAATGGTCTCCAGTGATGAAAATTCCCCTGATGTGAAAAACGATATATAAGGCACCTAGAAAATAGGAAGAAAAAAAATGACTTGATATAGCAAAACTATTACAGTAATATTACCTTGTCATACTCCCACCGAAAGCCAGATAGTGGTATAGCAATATCTTGTAATGGACACTGGATGACCTTCTCAATAAAGGCTTTGACTTTAGGAGGCTGGAACCAAATAATCGTCAAATTTAGATGACGGTATATGGATGAGAAGAGGGAAAACATATGGGAATACATGTATAGATATGATTACATATGTATCCACAAAGATGAAAGTACATACAAATAAATCTTAAAGTACAAAATTATGAAATGCGGATGAAGAAAACACTTAATTGATTTCATGAATTGCCTGTAATAATCAATTATTGCCGAGGAATAATCATATTACTTAATCAAACTTATAGAAAAAGAAAAAGCATCATCATCAAACAATAATTCGAACGGAAGGAGTAAAAGAAGTTAACTGAACATCCTAAGGAACTTGTCATTCAATTCAAAAAAGTGCATGTGTAAAAGAAGCACCAAATCCTAAAGACATGTCTATAACTAGCAATTTGGAACACCACAATAATGCATCGATGAGGCTTGAGAGGGAGTATTATTAATTAATTATATTTAGGTATATCACTTCGCTTCATGTGAAACACATGTTGGGCATTCAAACATTGATCAAACAAGCACTAGCAAATAACTATTAACTAATGAAATTAGTATCCTAATCAAATATATAGGTAATGTTATCTTAACCATATTATTTGTCCAGTAAGACAATAGCTTTTTAAAAAATTAAGAAACCAGAGTAACTAAGACTTAGTTCTAGGCTATTTAAGTAAATAAATATATCATGGACATATATATGTTATAATGGCAGAAAGCAACACTTTCAAAATATTAAATATATTAAATTTATACCCTAAAACAAAAATCAGAAGAAAAATGAAGTGACTTGCTTATAGTGTTCAATCTTGCTTTATAACTTTCATAGTTATATCAGTAAATGGTTTATAGAAACATCTATATTCAGTCAATCTAAGACCAAACTCAAATAACTCATTTTTTCATTCAAACCCAATAATCCACCATTAAAAAAAACAATATAAATCCAGTAATCCAACTACCAGTCAATTCTGCACCAAAGATTATTGATTTGATTACATGCAATATTAGTTCCCCTGGCTAGGTATCACATCTCAAGCAAAACCCAGTAACTCATTTTTCTATTTAAATAAGCCATCTCAGATTAAAAAATAATCGGACAAGATATTTTGGGTAACTACACTGCTCCAGTTTATAGAACTTCTGCAATAAATTCTGCTGTAAGCTTCTGTTATGCTAACTCATCTAGCCACCGGTGAAGGTTAGTTTAAGCATGTTGTGAACAATATTACTAAAAAATGTAGCACAGATACACACTTAACAAATGGTTAACATGGTAGTATCAGAATTCTTTGATTACAGTTTGTCTCGAAGAGAACTGCAAATTTGTAGAAAAAATTTTGCATAAAACAAACGACAAAAATCAGGAAATCAACCATGTTATACACCAAACTACAGGCACGTGAACAATGTGTTTAGAATATTTTCCCATAATACTCAGCACCGGTCTTCTCTCAACATTTTCTCATTCATTTTCATACTTTCACAGATATCATTGATTTCTTTCCATCAAGCTACAAAACTACCCCTTTTAAGCAAAAAAGCATACAAGAAAGTCAACATTTTCTGTAAAGGTAAACACAAATAACTTGCCCAAAAATGGTTTTATATTTAAAACCACCGACACTTTTTAGCACCGACACCTCTGAAAAAAGGTGTGCCTGTATCAGTGTCCGTGATCGTGACCGAAACTTGTGATTTTGTTTATGTGCTTTATAGCTTCTGAGCCTTCCAGTAAACAAATATCAACCAAAAGCACAATTTGTTTTCCTATCTATATCAACTAATAAATAATGGCTATATGCACACAATATTCAAAATTACCAATGGTGCTGCATATTACCTCAACTTCCCTCATGCAACAAAAGCATTCAAAAAAAATATTGAATAACTCAACACTGATCAATCAGTTAAATATTAATCCCATTAAACCCTACTCACGAACATCACAAAAAAACTAGTGAGAGAAAACACACTCACAGGCTCAGAATCCAGCTTGATTGAAGGACCAGTGGCACCTTCACTCGACAGAAGTTGCCTTAACCTTGAAGGCCAATTCGATCTTAGCGTTGTCATTTCACCTAAACTTCTCTACTCCAAAACTCTCAAAACACTGTCTGAAAAAATAAACATAAAAATATATTAAAAATTATAAATAAAATAAAATAACAGTTTCATTTTTTTAATCAGATTAAAAACAAATACAAAATTACAAGCGGTGATTAGAGTAAACGGAATCGAAAAACACGCAGATATGATAAAGAAGAAAACGAAATCAGTAATTGAGTAGATCAATTTCGCAACAAGAAGCAAGAATATAGAGATAGTTATATTTAGGTAAAGAGAAACCTGAGAGATGAGAGAGAAAGGGGTTAGGTTGATACGCATCCGAAGTGAGGATGAAAATGGAGAAGAAGGTGAGAGGGAAAGAGCGAAGCGAAACGGAAACCCCAAGGGAAATAGGGAACAGAGAGAGAAAGAGAGAGTGAGAAAATTGTTTACTTTCAACACGAAATAGGGTACTTGGGAAGAGAGATGAGAATATATATTGTGATGAGTAGTGTGGAATAGTTACTTAACTTGTTGCTTCTAGAGCGGGGTTTTCTCAACACGAGTTATTTTCTTTTTATTCAATCCATTTTTTTATTATATTTTTTAACTCAACTTTTATTTATTTTTTTGCAACTTGCCACCCATATTTTTGGCTCATAAAGAGACTAAGAACTTTACCTTACACACTTTTCTTTAGGGGTGGTAAATGGACACTGTCTCTTCATTTAGGTTTATTATGAAAAAAAAATCAGATGGAGCGGAACGGGTGTTGAGTAAAAATACGAGGACAAATGGTGCGGGGAGCGTATATTTGAAGATACGGATCTAAAACTTTGATTCACCCTGAAAAAATGCGATCAAAATAGGCGTACTCAATGAATCAAACCCGTTTTTTCACCCTTATTTTTTATTGAACCAGTCATCCCCATATCAGTAGTATTTTTTCATAATATGTCACCCTCACATCAGTAGCACTTTTATCATAATACCTTCGGATTAGGAAAGAGGGGAAGAAAATTATAGAAATATAAACTCTATCCATTTTTGAGATCAGTGCTTTGAGGAAACTCTTTAAGAATAAGATTGATATGTTCAATCTCTTATGTTTTTCTCTGTCTTGGTTGAGATAATGGCTCTCTGTCGTGATTGAGATGACCTCCCTTTTTGTCTTGTAGATTTTCTTCAACCTTTAATCCTTTTTTCTTTCTTATTTGAGATTTTTGTGTATTGTTTTTTGGTCTTCTTTCCCTTTGTATATCTCCACTTGTTGTGTGCTTCCTTATATAGGTGTTTCTCTTTTTTTAATTTGACTTTGTTGGTCTTTGTTTATCGATCTCTTATTGGTTTGTTTGTCATCATCCTCTTTGTCTCCCATATTTCCTCTTAAGGTAGTTGTCTCGTTCAGATCTTTCTGTTTCTTGTTTGCCTTCGTCAATTTTTTATATTTGAGTTGCTTAGGAACATGTCGAAACAAGTATCGATATCGTCAAACGTCTTGTCCCTGTAAAGAAGATACTTGTAGTAATAAAGGAAAATTATTTAGAATAAAGCATCAGCAATCAAATACAACAACACATTATCCAAAACCAGGATTTCTCGCATCAACACCTCAACATCCCCCTGTGTTGAAGAACAACATGTCAATCTTAGCTAGTTCATTAGAGACTAATGGCACACCTACAAATCCTACTGTTAGGGACTCTAAAACTAAACCTTCTAAAGAGCCTGAGTTCTTCTTGTATTAAGATGATGAAATCACATAACTCAGTGAAACTCTAAGAATCGTCATTTTAAGGAAATTGGTGATTGAAAAACCTATCCAACGAGGGAATGTAAATAGTCTTAGCAAATATATGGTGCAACCCTAAAAACTTAGTCGTCAGATAAGTAGAGACAACTATAATCAACATAACTATGGACAGAGTATAAGATCACATTCGATTTTTGAAGGTAAATCATTGGCTTTTTTGAAACTCTTGGTTAATTCTCCAATAATGGGATGGAAGGGCAACAATAAGCACACTAGAATTCTCAAAAGTCCCTATTTGGGTCCAGATTTAGGGTATTCCCATTAATGGCAAAACGACCCGAATGGGGCAAAAGTTTGGCGCTTAACTTGGAGAATTGATGGAGATTGACTTTTTTATATGGCAGATAGAATAACTTTTGTCAAAGTTAGAATTAATATGAGCATTAATAACCTTTTAAGGCATGGCACGTATATCGGAAGTAAGAATAATAGGGTTAATTAGGTCAATTTCTGCTATGAGAAATTACCCATATTTTGTTTCTATTGTGGGTATGTGGGCTATAGCAGAGATTACTGCAAAAAAAAAGGCTCAGAGTCATTGAATAATATAAATTAATCCTTTGGTTCCTTGGCTGAAAACAAATCAAACTGAAAGGCACCAAATCCCCCAGGTGGATAGGAATTTCAGCAGCAAACCAGCTAACAAGCCAAGTTTGAGCTTGCATAGCCCTAATCCTAAGACCATGGTGGAAAAATGGCACAATTATCCATGAATGAAGTTAAAGGAAGTGCGACAAACACATACATTTCTCCTCTACTACAAAGTAAAAAAAAAAGAATTTTGGAGCTAGAATACAAGAATAATGATATACAATATTCTCTAGCCATGGCCATGGCTAGCCTTATGGATATAAGGTAGTCACTGAAGGATGAAGTTGCCTTTCTGAAATTGTAGGGGGTTGGGAATTCCCCAAACCATCAGAGCGCTAAAACTTATGATAAAATCTCATTCTCCTAATATTTTGTTTTTGTATGAAACTACAAAAATATGATAATGATAAGCTGTATTTTACTCTAGTTAATGTTGGCATCTTAACAGACATTCAAAGTGTTAGTTGTAGGATTAATGGTAAATGTGAGGTTGCGGGTTAACTTTGATGTGGAGTAAGGATGTAAATTTACTCATTTTGGATTCTAATAAAAATATGATTGACATTTACATTTTGTCTCATAATAATAATATGCATGATATTTTCTAGCGTGGAACTGGAATCTATAGTTATCCTAACAATAACCGAAAAATAATAATTAACCTGCAACCTTATAAATAACTTGGCTTAAAGAAATGCTCACACAAATTGTCTTATTTTTTGGGACTATAATATTGTTACATGAGCTGATGAAAAGGGGGGCATCCCCTTTACCCTAATCTTACTCACATTATAAAAAAAAAAATACTTTTTATTATTATAATCTTATTGATTTAGGTTATGAAGGTTACTTGGAGACTTTGAGTAACAGTTAACAATATAATAATTTCATATCAACCAGACTTGATAGATACATGGCTACTAAGGGCTGAAAGCAGATATTTACTTATCATACTAACATTCACCTCCCAAAGTCTGAATTTGGTCATAATCTTATTGATGTCAGTCGGTCATTGCATAAAATTAGATGAAGAATAAGGGGAAAATAAGCTAAAGAAGAGCCAAAAGGAAGAAGACCCAAGAATGAGTGAAAAACAATTAAGTATGAAAGAATGAGGCTTAATGAAATTTTTGGTAAAAAGGGTGAACTTTTACTCAGCTACTGGAATAATCATGCGTGTCATCAGGTGCCACTGTATGCGCGATAGGGAATAATAAATTATATTGGGCGTGTGATGTGTTTAGAATGCGCACGATGGGAACTTTTCTGGGTTTTTTCTAACGTGCTCTAAGCTCTTTTTAAAGGGGATTTTCAGCAGTTTGACAAGGTTTACAAATTTTGGAGATTCAAGCATGAATTATAGAATACAAGGGGTGATTTAGAAAGCACTTGAAGCCATTGGAGGTCATATTTTCAAAGGACTTCTTATGTTATATTTGTTTATCAATTGTGGTATTTTTAATTGCATTATGAGTAACTAAACTGTTATACGTTAGGTTGTGTTATGACAAACCTATTTCTAGATTGTTGGATTATATGTTGATTTGACCTTTCTATAAACCTATTGATCTATAATCTTATTCAGTTGTTTCATGTTTGTAATGCTTTCTATTTGAGATACTCTGTTAATCTAATATTTGACACATAGGGATTACTGATCCTTAGCCTATGTGTTGGACATAGGGTAATTGTTCTACTTACCCTGGTTGAATGGGGATAGGAGACCTCAAGTAGTGGCATAGAAAATTAACGTTCTATACATCGTCTAACCCTGCTTACGTTGGCGGACTATGGATAGAAAGCCCCGAGTAGTGGTTAGTGAGTTATTTCGTGAGGGATCGACTATAACGGTTTTGTTGATTCTTCGTGGGGTTCTAGTGATTAGATCATTCATACAGGGCATCAAACATAAACAATAGGGGAATAGGGGATTCTACAACACAACCTGGACACTTTTGTGACATTGTTTACTCGTTGTAATACCTCAAATTTTGCCCTAAGATTTGTCGTCGCATTTCATTGCATTTAATCAATTACTAACAAATTTGTGTAGTCATTTGACTTTTTGCAGGTAAATATCATATGACATGCATTTTTTTCTAAAAAGTAAAAATGGCACAATTGGCAAGAGGACATGTGTAAGGAGTTGTGAGTGTGAGAGGTTGAGAGTTCAAATCTCACCTTTGTCACTTTTTTGTTTTTTATTATTTTTACTTTAAATTTTTCTATCTTTCATTAAAAAATAACAAAAATAGTTTTTTATTATTATTTAATTATTATTTTCGTATTTTAATTAAATCATTTTTTAAAATATTATTTTTTTCACTTTTTTCTAAATTATTCATAAAAATATCCAAAAAATCATAAAATAAAAAAATATTGAAAAAAATTTTGTTCTTTTTATAATATTTTTGATTTTAGGAATTAATAGGATTATTAGTTTTTATTTTAAGTTTATTTTAATTATTTTAAATTATTTAAATTTTATTTTTTCTTAACTAATTATTTAGTTTGGGCTTTAAAATGGGCTTTAGGGACATTATTGACAATTTGGTGTTAACCCTAATTTGTTCCCTATATATACATGTGTTGCCTTGTTGAAAAAGGGGTCAGAAGGTTTTCT